TCTGGGGCGCTGAGAGACACAGAGCAGCGTGCCGGAGATGAGGGAGCAACACCGGAAGTCCCGCCCTCCTCGGCGCTCCTGATTGGACAGTTCGTGCAGCCCGCCTCCTCGTCGCTGATTGGCTGCTGCTCCACGGCCCGCCCTCTGTCCCGAGGTTAAAACGCAGTGAGTTCCTTCCACCTACTTCGGTAGCGCTTAAGCGGCTGTTGCCCTGCAGCTCCTGGGCGAGGCTCTCTTCTGCAGCGTCAGCCTTACCTGGTGAAAACAATTGCATGTCAGTGTGTGCACTCCTGGCTTTGCAGATGTACCCCTGTTTCCTCAATGGCTAAGAGCTCTCTTTTTGAAATTGGGCCACTTTTGTGCTCTGCAAGGCCCACGTCCGTGTCCGGAAAGAAACAGCTCCGGGATGAAGGAGGGCGTCGTGAGGGCAGGGCCAGGCCCAGCAGCACCGAGGAGGGCTGCCGTTCCACGGGCGCTATTTGGGGATACGGCAGCAGGCTTCACGTTGTGGCTTGCACACTGTCGGGACCAACTGACTGCCACCTGCCACCGAAGAAAATTGTTGTAGGCAGCTGCGTGAGTTAGAAGAAAAAAAAATTTCTCCCCAGCCCCTATTTGCACTTTTTAAACAAGCTTCCTTTTTCTCTAGCAGCCCATTTGGAGGCACTTGACCTTGGGGGTGCTCTGACTGTGTTGTCATAGTAACATCAGCGCCCCTTTCCCTGTCACTCTCCTCATTCGTGGGCACTTTGTTAGCACCAGTAGAGCCTTCCGTAATGGTAAGCCGGTGCTGATCTGTATTCCTTCCCCGGCTGTTAGGTCTCCAGGATGAGATGGCTCCCTGCACCAGGTTGTATGTGGCTGTAGTTTGTGGGTGAATGTTTCTTTTATGAGCCACATAAAAGGGTTCACCTATTTCATCTCAAATTGTGAGATCCAGTGCACCGGCTTTGGGAAAAGAAGGGTAGAATGTAGCTGATAGGTTTTCAGTGGTGTCACAGCAGAGAAACAGGCAGAAGGGAAAAGGGAAAGGGGCTTCATTATCTTGGAGGACATGGAGAGAACTTGGGAAGATGAGGAATTCTCTGGATTGGCACAAAGGGAGGCTGAGGCTCTTGCGGCCTGTTGCCAGGGGTGCGGCTTGAGGGGGATGTTGAGATACACCCGAGGAGCTGACTGGGGCTGTCCCTGAGGTGGCGGGAAGGGTGAAAGGAAACTGCATCCTGGGCTGAGTTGCAGAAGAAGCAGGGAGGTGGTCTTGGGAAGATGAGCTGTTTTAAGGGCGTTAGCCATACTGGATGGCCACCATAATAGTTCAGCAACTCATACTAGGGCCAGAACCTATCAGTAGCTATCCCATGGAGTAATCTAAAAACTTGCATATATGATACCTTAATGTCGGCGTCTTTTAACAGTTTCATAATCAAAAAACTAAATTTTTTCTCTTCTTTGTATAAAGACTGAGGTCGCCCCATGTTTACCCTTGACGAATAGATTCCTACTTGCAACTTGGGGACATGCAAGGTCCAGTGGATTGCCAACATGTGATTTTGGTTAGTAATCTTGTGTTGAGAAGGTCATGTGATCCAACCACATTTAGCACCAATTGTAGGAGTCCCCTCCAGGTTCTCGTCTCGGTCCAAGAACTCAATATTTGTAATCCCAAAGATATGTTATTGGAATCCCATTAAGTTAATTCCAATCTCACACTCCCAGTGCAACCCAAGGTGAAAGAAGGACACTAAAACATATTTATAATTATTGCGGAACAAAGGGGACCTAGGACCAGCCATGAAGATAGCTTTCTGGAACCAAGAGGCTGACCCAGGGCTGTACCCGGGTTTTATTCAGTGGAGGAGGAGTGGCTTGAGGAATGACTGAGAATTGTGGGACGTAGGTGACACTGTGAGCTGAGCTAGGTGGGTGGCCTGCATTTACCTCTGCCACATGCAGAGGAAGTAATTTGCATTATGCTATTGAGATACTATCTTATGTTTCGGGGTCTGGTGCTTCAGCTCTGATGTAATCTTTTTTTTTTTTTTTTTTTTTTTTTTCAGAACTGGGGATTGAACTCAGGCCCTTGTGTTTGCCTGTGTTATGAGTCGCTCAGAATAGGAACCAGATCAACCAGATTGGATTTAGAAAGCTGTTAATTACTGAGTTCAGGACCCTGGTCAGCTCTCAGGGGAGAGAAGACCAAAAGGTGGTAGCCCAGGAAGGGGGGGGGTGTTAAAACCTGGAACCACATTCAGTTTGGTAAACAAATTCATTGTCTGACACACAATAATGCTTTCAGGGTCGTTGTGACCACTACTCAAACTAAATTTCCTGGGGATTTTGTTTTAGTTTCTGGTTATTTTGCACCAGAGTAGCTGCAGGCAGCCTTGCATAGCCCGGAGGTTACAAAAAGTTAAAGCTCATTTAGTTTCCTTTTTTGAAGTCATCTCTGTAATCTAACTTTGTTTACAGGAATTGGTGAGGTAGGAATTTTATCTAGCAAACAGCAAGAAACAGCCACTAGTTACTAAACAACTTAGAACAGTGGTGAGTATACATTTTTACACAACAGAAAGCACAAGATTTACATTTATAATCTAAAATGTGAGTTGACCCATGACACCAGGGAAGTGCTTATTCTACTGAGCCATCTCCCCAGCCCCTTTGATGTAATCTTTCAAGCCCCAGGAAGTCATGGCCTCATCTTGAGGCTCAATCCCAGCTGGCAGCGTGGAGCACTGGCTCTTTGTCCTGTCTCAACCCGGCTTACATTAAAGAGCAGCAGGTGTAGGTTACCAGGGAAACACGCAGGCCACCTTCAAAGACTACTGCCAGCACCTCGCTGGACCAATGTACATTGCTTAAGGCCTGTTGAAAGCATAAGGAGAAGTGCTAGCCAGCTCTGTAAATATCAGAAGGAGGAAATAGGGCCAGGCTCAGCCAAGACGGAGACAGTCGCTCTGCTTTCAGGGAGAGCTGCTCAGGACTCCTTGGGGCCTTCCCTGAGGGGGCAGGAAAGCCGAAAGGAATTGCACCCTGGGCTGAGTTGGGGAAGAAGGAGGGAGGTGGTCTCTGGGAAAATAGTGAGATCCTGCCACAGCCAAATCCATGAAAGAAAACAAGCCAAAATAAACACCTAAATACGTAAAGCATTTCCTGTAAAGCACTAGGTAATCTTGGTCAGGCTTTTAACTATCCCTAA